TAGAACTGAGAAGTGTTGGAGATGAAGTCATCAATGTCGTCCAACTGGAAGCAAACTTGCTTTTTAAAAGTGCTTGCAGGTAACTGTAAACAATTATCTGTTCAAGATATCCAAAATCTGGTGGTCATGTACCATCAACCATAACCTACTATGAGAAAGGACTGTAGATCACCAACGTAGATGATCTATGTCGAAATGATTGGAGGCCGACTCGAGTTAGACGTGAATAGTGTGACGAACCAACTAACGTCGAAGTCACACCTCGTGGTCAGCACCTTACGTGGACTACCCCCATTGACGTAACAAGGTACTATAGATGCTTTGAAGACTGTACAACACAAAGGACGTTATTACAGAAATATATTAGTTAAGGTAGATACAGGCGAAAGTAAGACCACTGCCGCATGGGCCAGTCCATGGCGTATGATTAACTAATGCGCGTTGCTTGTACATGACCTTGGCAGGGAGCGATGATCTGTTCGACCTTCAGTGATCCAACTGCCGGATGATTTGGCTAGGGCTCAGTGACATTTCACTGACCCTACAATACTCCCCCACCAGATTCAACGGCCGTTTGAATCGGTATCAAACATGTTGGGAGCAGTCGCGCGCCAGAGAGTGCCAAACGAATATTATAAATCCTCCAGGTATTGCTTATCTGTAAAAGAAATGGAAAGGAGGCGGCAGAAACTGGTCGGGAAACAGCGAGTCATAATATGTTAGTAGGACGTTCGTTAAACGTAAAGCGATTAACCATAGAAATAATGAAAAGAACAAAACGTTTTATTGTTCTATCAAGTCGCGTTGAAATATATAGCGTTGACAAGTAGTTCAGTTCCTCCGATGACAACTGTTAAGTCTGCCGCAAGAGTAATGATGCTATAGCGATAGTAGGATAAGTGTACTATCAATCGATATCCATATTTGTACTGTCATTAGTTTAAAGTTGTAAGTCGGACAGTGTCGTTGACAGCTATTAATTAGTGTCAAATTCTAGTTATATCTATATCCAACAGACTTACCGTAAGTACAGAAGTATAACAGTGAAGAGTGGTCGTGATTTCGTTGTGCGAAGCTATTGACCAACTTGTAGTCACAGTTTGAAAAGTCGATGACTGCTGTTACAGTCAGTAAGGGTTGAAGGCTACAAATCGACAGCAAAAGGTGGCACGATGAAGTCTCTAAAAGATGATTAACGGTGAATGCTGCGTGTTTGTTCGGTTAGTGAACAGAAAAATATCGAAAAGAACATAAGAAACCAAGAGTGTCACTCTGGACTCATGTCAATGATACCCGTGAAAAACGCTGTCAGTGTTGGGATACAGGGGACAATATCGTTTTCACTTTGCAGGAGATTCGCTCGACTGCATAAACTGATGATTCGCGCGAATGATATTGTCGTCAGACCACCAATTGAACTGGACAGGTTGTAAATCGTCGAGTAGTTGAACAGCCGATTGATGTACCGGAATCATCTGTTAAACAACAGCCACGAGGAAACAATGCTTCATAAAATGAAGTACGACATCGAAGTAGAACAACTACAATAGTTCAAATGTGTTACAATGTCAAGTCTAAATAACATCGTTCTTACGTATACTGACAGTTGCACTGAACGTTCGCTTAGGTATGATTAGTGTAACAGTTGGATGTGTGAATAAAAACATATACGAAAACTATGGTTGGGTTCGTGGAGAATTTTCGAGGACGTTTAGATATTTTCCCGTATTGTATACAAATATACCGAAAATGGAATTGGAATGACTGTCGTGTAATAAGAAAGTCGAGCCATGACTTACTGTGTGAAATAATGGCAAATACAAGGGGTATAGTAAACATTAATTAAAATGGTAAACACCAATGTAACTAAGGTTTAGAGGGTCCAGGTAACGTGGCCATTTCGTAAAAGGATGATACAAAGAGCTTATTACCTAGCATTAAGTGACATATTAAGTACGACAACATGTGTACTTGGGACATGGACCAAGCGTGCTCGTGTACATGCAATATATTTTACCACAGTATGTCGACTAACGAGTCATAAATGTACATGATTTCGACTAAAACTTGACAGCAGTGACAGAATATATGACTAGTTTACGTAAAAGCAACTACGAAATGTTATCACGCATCATAAATATAGTAAGAAATAATCTAATGAAATTATGAAACTCGCCTGGGTTACTCTTGCCTTTAAGTAATGAAGTAGGCAGTAGTTTGAATCTGGATTATGTACGAGGTACTGTTGATTAAATTTTTCGACTAACACAGCGTTGTAGACTGACGAACAGTCTAAAAGAGATCTAAGATCGCAGGAAATTTATAGTTCAAACTCACCGTGAATTTCTAGCATTCGTATCTTCTGTTTGGCCATCGAACTCAGCAATTGGAAATTAGGCAGGCAGTGGTAAAAAAAAGCAGAACATTCTAGTGGATAGTGGTTAAGCAGAAAGATGAATTTATAGTCGATAGTTAATCTTGTCTTATTTATACCAGTGGATAAGGTACAAAGAGATATGCGTTCGTGTTGCCTTGTGGCTATACTCACGAGTGGTTGATATTTTAACAGACATATTACACAGGAGCATTTACATGCTGCTAATGCTTGTTAAAGAACCACGATAGCCGATTATAATCGTAGTTGATTGGTTAGTTCTGTCGATTGAACGAATTATCTAGGTTTAAATGCTAATCAACATTGACATGAAGCAACGAAAGTTCACAGTAACAGATTAACATAGGCGATGATAAAAATGAAAAAGAATAAGTATAGAATACAATGATAAAGATTATAAAGATAGGTTGCGTTATTCGAAGTCTTGCTCACCAGTGTAGATCACCAACGTAGATGATCTATGTCGAAATGATTGGAGGCCGACTCGAGTTAGACGTGAATAGTGTGACGAACCAACTAACGTCGAAGTCACACCTCGTGGTCAGCACCTTACGTGGACTACCCCCATTGACGTAACAAGGTACTATAGATGCTTTGAAGACTGTACAACACAAAGGACGTTATTACAGAAATATATTAGTTAAGGTAGATACAGGCGAAAGTAAGACCACTGCCGCATGGGCCAGTCCATGGCGTATGATTAACTAATGCGCGTTGCTTGTACATGACCTTGGCAGGGAGCGATGATCTGTTCGACCTTCAGTGATCCAACTGCCGAATGATTTGGCTAGGGCTCAGTGACATTTCACTGACCCTACAGGACCAACCACCTTCCAGCAGGAAAGAAAATCAGGAAAAATTACTGAAAGTGGATAGGGCATACAATAAGGAAATAATCAAATTGCTTCTTGAGTCAAGCGCTTACTTAGGATTCTAATGGAAAAAGGAAAGATCAACGAAAACACAGCATCGAAAATTGGAAGCAGATATCAAAAGAGTGAATGGCAGCTGGAAAAAACCGTAATATAAATCTCAGCACAGAGTCGATTACAAATTTTTGGTCGGCGGCCTATGTCTTCACAAGGAGTAACACGCGTAGGTAATTAAAAATTGCGATCAAATTGCTTCTGATCTGACAGGGGGAATAGGTTAAGTTTATCCAATCTATTGTCGTACACTTTAAAATTCCGGGAATCAATTTATGTGCGGTTTTTAAACATTTTTGACATTTCATTGTCTTCTTTTTAGACAAAGGGTAACAGCTCGAGTTTAGAACAAACAAATGACACAAATAAAGCCAAGAGGGACTTAACTGAGATATGGCTAGATGCCATACGTGTTGATCAGAGTACTTTAAGGCCTTTAGCAGTTGTCTGGTGGCATAGTATGTTGTATTCTACGGCCTGTCAAATATAACGTGACAAAATCGTCAATTACAATATCAATTTCTATGACTTCGTCCATGTGCTGAACCAATGATACGTCAAACAACACTAGCAGCCTTGAGTCGACTCTGAGTCCATATTCGCCATCTGTATAACAACTCTCTTAGCCCCTCCGTTCAGTCCAGAACATAATATTAGTCTCTGTTGTGCGGATCGTATATTTCAGATATGCTTGGTTTATATACAGGCAGACCCGAACGCATCTTACCGTAAAATGGAAAGAAACAATTATACAAGACCAAGTCAAATGTGGCCATGATTGTGGAAAACTGTAACTTATAAACTGGGAATACCTTAACAATGCTTAACTGTGTTGCATTAAACAATAAACTGAATGAAAGCTCATGATAAAAAGAAAATATATGCGGACACATTTTCGTTAATGTCTATAATCTAGTTGCTTAATAATTATCCCATAAAAATATATGTAATGGTAGTCCATAATTACTTCTAGCAGTTACCACTCATTTGTACTTTTTTTCACATTTGACAGAGTGCAGTAGTTTTTAGGCCTCAGTTAAAAAAATCTGTGTTTGAATAACAGACAGCCCAATATTATTCACTGCATATTTGTCCATGCTTTGTAGACCAATGTTCGTCATAATGCACATGGAAGCATTTATTACTAACTACCAAAATCTAAATCATTTGGGTACCTTCCGATGGTTGCCTATGAGACCTAAACCATCACATTTACTTATAATCAATCTCCATATCTTGATATTACAGGCATATAACAACAACAAAGCTAAGAATAAAACCATTAATAATAATATACACAACGATAATGGAAGACTAGGAAGTCCATTAAATTTCAGGAGGAATAATACTGATTCAAGAAGTACTTCTTGGCGCATTCCGTTCAGCACAACCTTTTAGCCAAACAAGTTAGATATCGCCCCAACTCTTTGTTGAATCCCAACTGTGAAATCGTTCAAACACATAAGCACATGACTTCCACTACTGATATCTCTTAGCTTAAAAACACCCTATTGTGTAAACGTTTGTCAGAAAAATTCTGGGAATCTGCGGGCTTTCGTTTTCAAACATACCACTCAGATACTGTGATGTATGTATGCTTAGGGTACTATGATTGTTTATTGAAATTTACCGAATTTGTTTTGATTTGCTGGCTGCTGTGCACACAACTTGGCGGTATCATTAGATCGTCTGCAGCATGGGTGAGTTTGATACCTCGTCGGATGTTCTGACTTTTGAATGAACTTTCCATCCATGTTTGGGTTACATAAATTACTTATGAACGGAAGTATTTAAACCGTCTGTCTCGTACCTTAAGTTCCATTCCTCATCCCGACATGAGGATGCATAAAAAGAACCATGATGTGTAGTGAGTTCTCGCTCTGTGATATTCAGAACCCTCCGTTTGCTTAAAGTAAAAGCCAAAGGCGTGCTTCAGCTCGATATCACAACTAAGACCCGGCACATCCTCCTCAATTAAAAGTTGCTTATTATTTTGGCTGGTGTTCATCTAGCATGTGTATTGTTTTCTGGAAGCACCTGTAGTTGCACTCATCAGGCTACTTGCATTCGGCTGTGCTATAGTTTCTGACGCACCACTGCTTTGCTTAGTGACGGGCATCTACGTAAATTTTTGGAATTAAATTTTGGTAAGTTCGCAGGATAAAACTCAGATTTATATATAAACTCCAAGCTGTAGCTAGAATAAGTATTTTCTGTTCAATCAAATATTTCTGCACCAGAGTATTCTAATGCCATGTGGTTCTTACAACTATAATTGTCCGATTCCTCTCAACCTACCCGTCATGTTATCTATGTAACGTTCGACTAACAGTTTAGTCAATGAAGCCTAATTCGTAATTGTACTATTAGATCGGGATATGGTTGCTTCCCTCGACTACTATAGCATTCAAGATAAACCACCGGTGTCTCACTACTGTTCATCAAAACTACAGTGATATCAGGCACAAAAAATGCTCAGAACGTTTTAGAATGTATGTATTAACAAACTAAACTTTTTGTTTGCAAAATGTGTCACGTTGCGGTCTCAGGGTAATCATGTCATCTGACGGCTAGTGACCTGTTTTCTCATTTATTAAAACCTTATTGGATGTACTAATTTCTCTTGAAGGTATTGCTCGAGATCGCATTCATAAAAGGGCTAAAACTGGAGCTCGTAGAGAGCGAAATCGCAAAAAGAGAAAGTTCGAGTTAGGACGTCCAGCAGCAATGACAAAGCTTGGAGCCAAACGTGTCCATACAGTTCGTGTCCGAGGTGGAAATATAAAGCTCCGTGCAATGCGTTTGGATCAAGGGAATTTCAGCTGGCCTTCTCAAGCTATCTCACGGAAAACTAAAATAATTGATGTTGTTTATAATGCTTCTAGTAATGAACTTGTCCGAACAAAAACTCTTGTCAAGAGAGCAATAGTTCAGATCGACGGAGCCCCATTCAGACAATGGTTTGAAGCTCACTATTTAAAAGAACTTGGTCGCCGTAAAGTCGTTAGTAAAAAAGGACACACAGTTACACAGGAAAACCCGGAGGAAGATATTTTGTTGAAGAAACGAAGCAAGTCAGCCTTGAAAAAGTATGAAACTCGTCAGGCTTTGCCTCAAGCAAACGTAGAAGAACCTTTAAAAGAAGCATTTGTTACGGGTCGTCTGTTAGGTAAGTCATCGAGATAACCTTATCACTGCTTAGCTTGTATATCCTCTAGACCTGGTCAAATCGGTCGAGCAGATGGTTATATTCTCGAAGGCAAAGAGTTGGAGTTTTATTCAAAGAAACTAAAAGTTAAAAAAGCAAAATAAATTTCTTTGGAAATAAACTTTTGTAGGATGTGAGCGTTTTTAAACGAAACCCAGGGTTTTTCAGTATCCATATGGTGATTTCAATATATATTGAAATACGCTAAATGGTTTAAATTTGTTCGTGGATACTACTTATCAAGTTTCATGAACTGTATTTCTAAGTTCGGCATCCCTATTTCACCGAAATACCGGTATTTTTGCTTAATCCGCGCTCTGTGGAACTCCGATTGCCGCTGTGCACTATGAGCAGATCAACTCATACAAAATTTTAAGCTATTCTTCGATATATTGTTGGTCAACAGGTACCATAGAACTGTGTATTATGACGGCGCTTCACTCCCGTGTGGATTAGATTTTTTGGTCAAAGGCCCCAGAAAGATCAACGCGTGAAGAGCGAGTTGGCTTTCGTCATGGTCAAATATGTATTGATTTTATTGTCATTCTTAGTTAATGTTAAAAACATACTTTTTACGGGTTAACAATCGTACGGTTTCATGACACACAAGATATCCAGCCTTCCCCCTTAGCTCGTATCTGTAAGTATGGGATAGGCTCGGAACAGTCCAAGTAAAAAGTACTTTAACAAGACTAAAATGATCTTTCAATCTGCGCTAACTCTTGATAACAACATATGTAGTTGCGCCGTCAGCGTATTTGGGTAGCTGCGTAAGTACTAGTTTTTGCGTGTGATGAGAAAAATTATGTCCTGTGAAAGCTACGGTGGCTTACACCAAACAGGGCCATATCTTTGGCACGGTTACGTTAGTTTGGGTGTATGAGGTTGAGTCTGCAACGCGTCGTCGAGGGCAGCTTTGCTCTATTCATGTGGTCCTTGCCTCTACAAATTAGAAATATTAGACGATTCTGTTTAATAACTGTTGTCTCTTGAGGATTGAAACCTTAAGTGGTATCCGTCTAGGCTGTCCACTATCTCGGATTTTGTTCAACTTCATAGACCTGATGGAAATAGCGCTCTCCTCGACTGAATTTCCAGGCATTGCTCATTCGGGAGATCCACATATCGACCTGGAACACGCAGAGGACAAATAGAGATTTGCTTCATTTTGACTAAAAACGTTGACTTCCATTCAATCGAAATATCTTATAATTCATTAAATAAGCCAGAATTTTTCGTTGCATATCACTTAAACAAGTATGTGAAAACTAGAACATTCACAAGAAAAAATCACTTTAACCATTGTTGAAGAACTCAGAATAAAGACAATCACAAGTTATGTACAGCTATATTTTATTGAAGAAAAATTTATTATTGAAATGAGCGGAGAATCTTTGCTAGCTCCTACTATACATCGCACCGTTTTGGATCTTAAAACATCTGATATATTTCCCACCAAAATTATGAAATATTAGTTACGGATACATGAAGTATCTACCAAAGGCTTTATATTTGTTTGGTTATGTAATATTCCTTAAAGAATCCATTTATTTCAACATTTAGTCACTTCTCGCATTTATTTACCTATTCTCTTTATTACTAAATATGTATTAGTATTAGTAAATAACATAAGTTGCTCTATACCATTATATACACTTCTTGATATAACTTTATCTTACTCCATGCATTTATGCTTGGTCATTCGGCGTACACTCCATCGCAAGCTGCTGAAAACTACATAATGGTGATTTCCTCTGTTAATGAGCAAACGTTTATCTATTGCTATAACCTCATATATACGCCAAAATATACTGGGATTTCATAGTTATGGGTAATTATGATAGGTTTTGTGACTGACTCCCTACAAAATTAGAGAATATTGTTCGGGATCCCCAGATGAAAGCATATGATGTAACAAAAACTTTCACATTATTTAGGATCATTCAAATTTTACATACTTTATTCCGAAATAACCTGCTTCTCTTCATCCTGATATGTTAAGCTTCCTATTCACTTTACTGTCTCAGTAATTTGAATCAATTACTATGTCCATGAATGGATATTACTGAATTTCTAAAGAACTATACCACGTTGTACACCGTTATATCTGTCTTACATGTGTAATCCACATTTCTTCAGTGGCCTATTTTTTCTCCAAACGGAATCTTGTGAGCAGTGCTAACCTTTTTGTCATTAATGACTTAAAACTGGGATGTTTTATTTGTTTAATTAGGGTTTACCTAAGCAATAATATAAGGTGTGATAAAATGTAATGTGTTACGTTACAAAAATTGGCTTTGTTCCACTGTTTAAACCATGAAATCGTTCAAGCTTATCATCACTTTAAAATAGCCTGTACACATACCGTAGTGAACAGAACACGAGTGGGGGCAATCGAATGTATCTAACGCAAAATTACAGGACTTGTTAGTAAAATCTAACAATCGTAAAGTAAATGCTTAATTTGTGAAATGTCCATCGATTGTCTCAAAATGACTCAGACTTCATTGTTCTTGCATTTTTATACAAATTGCATTTTGTTTCCATTCTTTACTGTTCGATCCTCTTGTCTCTGCTGCCAGACCTTCTGTTCACGACTAACATCATTTACTACTTATGTCAATATAAGTAGCACACCACAATGCAATAATTTCTCTATGTAATATTTTTTTCAAAGCAATAAATTCTCAGATTATACTTCATCACTCATTATTTTAAGGAACGAAATTAATTTATGTTTTCTATGATGGTAGAATTACTTTTGTAAGGCTTTAAAAGTCAGCGCTATATTATATATAGTTCTCTGTCAATTATGCAGTTGCAAAAGAAATAGATATCGGGTTCATGAGAAGCTCGATAAAGATATGGCCTTCTAATAAAGATTACTGGATATAGAATATCAGTGCAGTGATATAATTTATGCAATCCATATTAATCCCATTGATTATCAACATAATTTTATAGTGTGTCGACACTTTGATGTGAGCGAATAAACTCTTGTCTGGTTATTCTTGCAAGCCAATATTTTTTTCAACTAAACGATTTATTATATTGCAAAACAAACTGACTACTGGAATTTTTTCTACATCTTTATCTTATTGATTAATTACAGTGTACTCTATTATTTCCTATTTTTGACATGCACAATAATATGTTCATTGTCCTTTACTAAATGACTGGAATAAACACGTTGAACAACTTTCTTCCTAAATTTTTCATACTATTCATGAAATGATAGTTTTAACTCACTTCATTGTTTTTTCTAAAAGTATATCCTGTTAATTGATTAAAACACGTTTTTAACCAATTCACTTTGCATTTTAATTCAAGAATCAGTGAAATCAGAGATACTTTTTCACTAAATCCTATATGAAATTCTTCGTTGTCTAGGTCTTGATCATTGAAGTTTTCTGTTTAAAAAAACGCGTAAGAAACGCTTAATTCACTAGTTTGAAAATGCTACAGTTAGACGTATCTAGTGAGAATTTATTACCTCATAATGATAATAATTTTATTTAGATTTTTATCTCAGTATCACCAGTGATACGCTTTTTGTAGCATATATCAATCTTATGAAAACCAGCAAAATCATTGTAAACTAGTAGAAACTTAAGAATGAATGCATTGAGACTAAAGTCTTTATATTCAGACACAAACCGTGAATAGATCAAATTATAGTTTAAGTAGTCACACTTAGTAGTCACATGTATATGGCATTCTAAAAAAGAGTAATTGCTACTTATCGAATGGTTATTTTGAATCAGAAAACGTAAATTAATCAAGATTGAGGTATTTAGTTTCCTAAAAGTGGAATCTGCGGACCAGCTTTAAAAATAAATGTCTGTGTGAGTAGTCTATTTTCTTTAGGTGGAACTCCTTATATCACCACATACAGTTTTAGTTTGCAAACTCATAATAATTTGTACCATTATTTAAAAACAAATATTAGGGTAAATTACGCACATCTGAAGTATTTACTGTTAGAAATATAGTGTCATATTGACATTTTAAATGAATTCAAAATATGGTAAAACGGCATAATTTACTTGAAAAGATGGAAACGAGATAGCTGTCTTGAAATCTATAAATTGTTTTATTCAATACGTTTGTTAATCAGCTGTTGTACTATGGAATTTATTTAGCACTATACAGTTCGCATTATGGTATCCATATACACTCTTCCGTAAAACATGGATCTTTTCTTCTATAGATGTTTCGAAAAATAGTCTTCAGAGACTTTTAAAACGTTCAGTAGTCATGTTTAGTTAAGAAGAGTGAGTTGTGTTCAACATATTCCGCTCGATTATACTACTATCTCCTAGCGTAGCCAACCTATTTAGTATTATTCGAATGGATTATTTACAAATGAAATATTCCGTAGTTGTATACGTTTTAAAGTGTATCTACATGAAAACTATACTTCGTACGTTGGCAACTGGAAGTTACCTTGATTAATAATAACTGAAGCTCATTGTACTGACATATGCATAAAGTAAGGAAAAAAAACCAACCTTTTCCGTGATATTTAAGCAATTTCTCCAACTTTCCTGTCAAGTTTTCTAAATCATTTGAAATCCATGTGATAGCGCATGATATCACTGTGTCATCTTTAGCATCGTTATCCGGCTGTGAAGCGTCAGTCTGTACAATTTGGTCTATAGTCACATAAGGCTGAAGATGAAACAAATAGTGTATGGCTTTCACGAATTTTAAGCCGTAAACTAACAATATTAGAATAGACCTATATTATAAACTAGTGATTTGTTAATAAAATGATACGTAATAAAAGTAGGTAATACAAGGAATACACTAGTACTAATTCAATAAATTACATGTCTACATATAATTCAATTGGTTGTAAATAAATAGCTACTCAGTTACAATTAATTGATTGTTCAATATCAAGGTTAGAATTCCATGTATTCATTAAGGTAGGTAGCATAATGCATGTACAACATGATATGTGCTTTAACTCTGATATTTCCAGTTAATTATCAGCTTTTGCAATTGACTAGAGCTTCTTTACAAATCATGTTATAGTTACCACTTGATGAGTTATAATCAGTTTTCATCGGGTACGTTTTAGATCATCCCGATGTCTAAT